CTGGGGCGCAGATAACACCTCCTGCTCTGCTCCCAGCAGCAGGGGCACTTCACACGGAGCTTGGGCACTGCTGCTTGGACTGCAGCAGTTGTAGCTTCTTAGAGATGGGGTTTATATTGCTGAGTGCATCAAGACTATGGTTAAATCTCACACCCTTTCAGTTACAATTATTGTGCAGTTATCTCTTTTAGGATGTTTGTTGTAAAATCAAGATTTTTTTAAAGCATTCATTTTTAATGATACTATTATTTGCACCTGCTCATCAGATACTTATTTAAGGAACATGCTGGCCTTAAGATTGTGAAATTAATGAAAACTAAAATCAATTGCAGGCAATTACTGGAGATAATTGACCAGTATGGATGCAGCTGCTCCAGTATTTTCTGAGTGCTTACTTTTACTTGGTGTTTTGGACTGCCTTAAGTTAGAGGACTAAATCAATGAAACATGCATGAGAAAAATGACTTCCCAAAGAACAAAACCCTTGAAAAGCATTTATCATCAGTTTCCTAGCACTCTACCATATATTTTTAACTTCTTCAGTCCATTCATAATAAATCAGAGTCACTGTTAAGCTCTCTCAGTTGTCGTTTTAACTGATGCCCTGTCCTTAGGCAGCAAATACATACACACTTGACTGCCAGAAGGTGCCTTTATATTTAATTAATAAACTCGTAAAGATATGCTTTCATAATTTTGTATGGAATTTAAAATACATTCCCTACCAGAGTGACACTAGTGTCTAGCTCTTTAAGTCTTTAACAGCTGCAGCCGTCAGTGAGACAGGTTAACCAGAAGAGTCAAGAGCCTTTGCTGGTATAAAAAGTGATAGTTTCCATTGGTGAGGTCTCTTTTCTGTAGGGGACTTATTTCAGAACTGGGATCTTGCCTAATTCTTGTCTCTGCACTATTGTTTAACAACTCCAAACCAAAGTATTTTGTTCAGACCTAGTCTGGATATGTCACCAGTTTCTGAAACAACCACCAAAGGAGAGAGGCCTGTGTGCCTCATAGCAGTCTGTTACTCCTGGTATCAGGCAGCAGTATGAGTCTAGTAACTGAGTATCTGTGCAAAGGGGATCTAGCTATTGGCATTCTTCAGGTCTTGATCACTTATTACAACATACTTGTCTTTTTTTGCTCAGTGTTTCATTGCACAGATCTATTCATACCACTCATCTTCTATAATTTAAGAATGGCTGCAGACTTAGAGCTGAATTTAAGTGGTGATTTTTCACTTCTGCAATTACTGTTCTAAGCCTTGAGACTTGCTAAAGGCAAATAGTATACTATGCAGTGCAGATGAGGTTTTGAATTATCTGCATGTTCTCTAGCCTTTTTTTGAGAGGTCTTTCAAATGTGTAAATAAGGCTGAGGGGGAAAAAATAAACACCTCTGCTTATTCAGCTGTTTATTACAGCATATTGCTTGTAAATTAGTGATGCCCATCTATGCATCTGTTCCTAAAGTGCCTGATGTCCGAGTTGCAAAGCAGCTGTAATAATCTATGTTCAGTCAATCCCAGAGGTGTGGTTAAGGTATCCTGCCACTGATGCAGAGCCATGTTTGAGCCTCATTGTGTATCCTTTTCTTCTTGCTGCTTTGGTGGAGAGGAATGCTGGGAGGCGAAGGTTGCTGGGTGTGAAACCAGTCACATCAGTTTATGTGCTGGGAGCCACAGGAAGGTAGAATTCCTGTAGTCTAAAAGCTGCCTTGCTTTGAGATTAACTTCTGAATGTTTTGATTCGGTCACTCTTGAAAAATATATTTTGGACATGATAAACTACTACTGTTTGGCTACATGAAATGAAGAAGTGTTTCTCCTAAAATTTGGAGGTACTATAAATCGTGACTATAAATTGTTGTATGTCAGCCAAAAATGTCATTGGCTGTTTCTGTACACTTTGACTTGGGCTTTTTCACTGTAAATAATAGACATAAAGTTGTTAGAAACATAAACTCTAATTAGGAAACTTCAAGTTCATGAATCTTTCACAGTCCTCCTGTTTCCTTGTATTACAAAGATTTCTCCACAAAGATAACTTACAGATTTTTTTATCATATTATGTTCCTTAGATTCTTGGCCAAAGAATTATATTGATAAAATGCAGGGTAAACAGCTCTGGAATCCAGTACTTCTGAATACAGATTTTCATCTGTGTATCTCTCATCTGTGTATTGCAGCAAATCTTGATATGCATTATAAAATTTTTGCTGTTATCTCTTTCATCCCAAGGAAGTGTTTCCTGTCAGCTTGAGGGAAATACCTGTTCCATAAAAAAGGCTTCCTGAAATCCCCAAGGCAAATGAGATGCAGAGAGAATCTGGTTTGCAGTCATAGAACAAATTCTTCTTACACATGCTTTGGCTGTGAGACTATCAGTGACTCAGCACATAGATAGATCCCCCTATTTTATAAAATTTGTTATTTTGCTCTGAAATATATGGCCATGTGCTTATTTTACAAAGAGGATCATCTTGTAGGCTCTGTTAAGCTGCCACTAATATTGACAATGTTTGTGAGAGCTATCAAGGAATATATACGTACACATAGCAGTATAACCCTGTATTACATCTAAAGTATGCAGCTTTGTGAATTGAATGTAGTGAGCTATGGTTATATAAATTGTACTTTATTTTTAAGTAAAGAGATGTATTTTTCAGATGTACCAGATTAAAAAAAAACAAAACAGTTTTACCTAATTAAATATCTAATGGTAAATAAATATTAATGGTAGGGAAAGTACCAGAATGCTGCTGAACCTAATCATTTATCATCTCTTCTCATGTTGTCAGCATTATTAAAATAGTTGTTCCTGCAACATGAACTAATGAGCCCTTTTCATCAGCACTTTGATATACTAATATTGTCTGCACAAGTGCTGTGCTAAGATTTCACCATCTCACAAAGCATGACTTTGTGCCTATAGCAAGTGTTTGTTCTAATAGAGCAGTGCCCCAACTTAGGATGATGCCTGCAGGGGATCCGACTTTATTTTCAAGTCAAAGGTGGCCTTAATGAATGTGGTAGACACAGAGCAGATGTGAAACTAGTATAAGTAAGTAATTATGCATATTATCAATTGCAAATATCAATTATGCACACTTCTGATTTTTAATGTTTGAATTTCTTTTTCTGACATTTTAACATCAGTCAAAAAAATGCAGAATGGTAGAAAAAAATGCTTCCTTGCCTTGAAGATACTTTATGCAATCCAGGAAGTCCAGAGTAAGTTAGATACTTTATTGAAAGAGTCCAGCTGCTTATGGGGTAAAATCTGCATACAACCTCATGTCTTACAGACATGCAGCTGGCCAAAATCAGCTTCATCCAGAGCAGACTCTGTGTCTCAAAGCACTTTCCATTTGGAATGGAGGAGGATTCCTAGTGCAGTTGTTTATCACCTTACCAAGGGCTTGTCAGGGTTTACTAGCTCCTATGCAATGTCATCTTCAAACATATGTAGGTAGAATACCTTGTGTATGCTAAATTTGAGAACTGAATTAATGGAGTCCTCCCTTCCTCTCCCAGAAGATGGTGTAAAAGCCTGAGGGTTGCTCCTGTGGATGTGTCTGCTTTGGCCAGCAGTGAGACAGTCAGTGTTTGCTTTGGTGGCTGTGACCTTCAGCCCCCAGGGCTCTGAACAGGGAAGGGCTTTTTAGGAAGCAGGGCAGTGCTGGGGTGCAGCACAGGAGACCTGGTGTGAGCCTTGAAGCTCACCCTGGATGGTCACAGGCTCACTGCAGGACCACCTCAGAACCCCTGCACAGGAAACTGCTGTCTTCCTCATTACACACGTAAACTTCCTGCTTTTCCCAATACTTCAGCAATTGGAGAACTTTGTCTATGAATAAAGCAGTGTTTAATGTTGTTGCTTAGATCCCAATGTTGTGGCAATATGGTGCAGTCTTGTATCAGCCATGCAGTCTATAGTCCTGGACAGTGCCAGTGGTCAGCACTGAGGGAGGAAGGAGGGAGATGCTCAAACAGCCTATGGCTCATACAGGAGGCTTGGCCTCCTCTCTTCATAACATGTACCACTGTAAGTAGTAAAATGTGCCTTTTAGGGCTTTGTTTTTCTCTATCTTCATCCTGACCTATCTCCCTTTTACACCACCACCAATGCTTCTTCTCTCCTTATCTCACTTTTATCCCTTTGTCCTTTTGATGACAATATTAAATTTTTCCAGAATTACTGAAAATCCTGTACTGGCCTTTGGTTGTAAGAATCTGTGTTAGAAATAAGCCCAGCTGTTAAGAGAGCTGTATTTTTGCAAGCCCCTGGATTTTTGTGTCTGTGCATATCCATGTTGGCTAGTTTAAAATGCATAGTAGTAAAGGGCATACTGAATTAATTCCTGAGCACTGAACCTGTGGTTGCACAGCTGTTGAAGTCTGTGGTGGCCCTTTATTCTCATATGTGACATCAATTGCACAGAAATAGTTATGGTCCTCACCAAGGAAAAGCCGTGTGTTTACCTGGTTTTCTTGAGACTTAGTGTCTGACTTCTTGGGAGCTGTTCTGTGTATTGGGCAGATAATTCATATGCATGCCTGTAATTGGAACAAAAACCATGAAATTTTGAACATGAAAGTAAACTTAATTTATTGCTATACTTACAGAATGTTTGTGGGAGATGAAATTAGGCATTGTTTAGAAAACAGTAAAATAATTATTTCTATATCAGAAATGAAAAATCATCCACTCGACATTTTCAATAAATTTTAAAGCAAACTTGTAATCATTATAATGTTTCACTGTGGGCAAAATTCACTGGGGAAAGGGAGAAAATTTCATTTAAGAGAATTCATAGCAGACCTGAATTTGGTTTTTTACTTCTCACCTTTTAATAACCAGAAGTTCAGAGGAGCAAGAGTCCCCAGTTTTCTATTTCCCCACATAATGTAATTGGGTACAGATAAGTACCATCATACCTGGAGAGGAGGGGAGCTTCATTCTGGTGAATCATTGACCTTGCAGCACGTCCTTGCTGCTGTTTTTCCTGGTTTTCCACACTGTGTTTGGATCTCTTGAGACCAGTGGCCTTGCCAGGTGTTGGGTACATACGAGCTTGTGAAGTCCCATCATAGTCACTCAGGATCTACAGAGAGGATCAGGAAGGACGGGAGACAAAAGAAACCCCTTTATAATATGTATAAAATTGTCTATTTGACCCTCATAATTGATTTTGGCAGAAGGATATACTTTATTATAACTTATTTTGTTGTTATTTGTAAATACAAGATGTCTATGGGAAATATGTAATTCTGAGCTGTGTCTATGGAACAAGCCACTGCACCAAAAAATTTCAAATATTTAGAATAGGCAGATTTTTATTAAAAGGGACCTAATATGTATTTATTTACATATACCATTCAAATTTTGTCCAGCTTTTTCATTATACTAACCCATCTTTTTAAGGAATTTTATAGCACAGGTATTACATATATATTTTTGTATATATGTCATACTGTAAATCCATAATACAATTTTCTAAACTTTCTGATTAGCCAGTTCCTTGAGTGAATTAAAGGGGGAGAGCATAAGCAAATTGCTTTCTGACTCGTTCAGGAATATATATCCGTGGCAATGTACCTGAACCAGAACTGTACAGCATCATTTTCATATTGTATACATTTTCTCCTTGATGAAAAAATGTTAACTATTTTTGTTTATGACTAATTTATTTTTTATTATTGTGGAAAATAAAGTAACTCAAGATGAATTTATGTGACGCGTTTGGGGTGTTTTCGTTTGATCTGCCCCCGAGGAGCGGCCGGGGGCCGGCGGTGCGCGAGCGGCGCCGCCAGGGGGCGCCCCCGCCTTCCCGCCCGCCGGGCGCTGAGGGGACTGAGCGCGCCTGGCCGGGCCGCGGGGCGGGCTCGCTGTGTCTCGCCGAGTCCTCGCTGGATCCTCACGACGTCCCCTCACGATGTCTCCTCACGATGTCCCCTCACGACGTCCTCTCACGATGTCCCCTCACGATGTCCCCTCACGACGTCCTCTCACGATGTCCCCTCACGATGTCCCCTCACGACGTCCCCTCAGGATGTCCCCTCACGATGTCCTCTCATGATGTCCCCTCACGATGTCCCCTCACGATGTCCCCTTGTTCGGGAGCAGATCAGTGAACGCCGGGCTGGCCCGGGCCGCATTCCGGGGCACCACGTGTGGGGAACCAGCGCCTGTGTCCTCAGAGGTTTTAAGTGTTTAATAGCTGAGGGGAGGGAAGAGGCGGGGGGGGGGGTTTCTTGGGGTTTTTTTGTTTGGTTTTTTGTTTGTTTTGGTTTTTAAAGTTGAATTTGAGGTATTAAGCTCTAAAATTATAATATTATACAATAATAAATGTCTTGCTCTTCCCCCAGCTGTTCTTTACGTTTAAAATAAAGTTTAAATGTAAAATCAGGAGCCCTGTAGCAGCTGCAGTAGTTCTCTGTGGTGATTTGTCCAAGCCCTCCAGCCTGAGGATCCTGAGGATTCCACATCACCAGATGATGCTGGTTTAATTCCCTGCTCTCTGTGATACCTGCAGAGCGGACCTCTAAGGTAAATACAGGGGCTGTAGGCAAAGTACAAGAGTTGTGTGCAACCCTGCACTGAGCAGCTGTAGTTATTGAGTGCAAATGCTTGTCTTTAATGCCTGTCTCCATACCCTATTTCTATGTTAAGCTTCAATTTGTTCATTCAGAATACTCTTACACAAACCGTTTTACATAGTTACTGCTAGCCAGTCTTAAAACAAAATAGAAACTACTACAGAGATTTTATTGATAACGTAAACTTCAAATACTTGCTATTAAATGAACCCAAAACCTTGATTTTGGTTCTCCACTGATGCAAGTTCCAATGAGGAACAAATAAAGAAAAGGCAATCCTGGCATCCTGCACATTAATATTTGAATGTGCTTTGAACTGAATAGATCTCAAGCTCTGCCTACTCTCTGGGTGCAACCTTTTTTCCCCTGCAGTTATCACCATCAGCTGAGAGGTTGGGTAGGAATTACATTCTAAGGTGTAGGTCCTTTCAGTTTCAATCTGTGCTCATGCAGAGCACCTGTATGAGAAGGTCACTTCCCTTGTACTTGATGTAGGTGGTTTTAGTCTGAGGCAGCAAGTCTCTCTGAGGTACTTGAAACAAAGCTGAGATAATTCTAAAATAAGATCCTTTCATTTCCATTTAAGTTAATGGCATTAAGAAAAACAATCCTTTCCACAACTGGAATTAAGGTTATTATACAGGACAAGGAATGGAAATTGTATTTCCAGGTAGGAATTATGTTTTCTCTGCAACTTTTTTTTTTTGTATTTCTATTAGCATATATTTTGTGGCTTTTCAGTTAGAAAATACTAGCTGCAGTTGAGATAGAAAGTGCCTCACTTCAGAGACAGTCAAATGACAATTTCAGCTAATATCAATGTGAACACTATATTTTGGGTTGTTTTGCTGTGTTTTATTTTTTGTAACTAACTTCATCTTGTTTTATTTTTCAACATAAGTCAACATTTTGCTATGCTTAAGAAGTAGCTTGAGTTTTCCTTCTACAGTGCCTTTCATTTTTAAAACATTGCACTATGCTTTCCAAAAATTCGGAGTTGGAAACAGATAATCTTTTAACAGTGCCTTGCCCATTTCATACCAATGACATTTGACAAGGAGTTCTGTTGAACCCGTGGAAGAGCCTTGTGATAGCAGTCAAAGGGCTGTGGGAGCACTGTCTGCCAGTGCCCTCTCTGTCAGGAATCCAGAACTGTTTTGTTAGAGGAAGGTTCTAATCAGCGTTAGGGGTCAGGCAGCTGATTTCAGTTTCCTCCTAACACAGTAAGAATGAGAATATAACACTTTTCTTCCTCATACAAATCTGAAGTACAGAATGTTCTACCAGAGTGGGTAATAAGTTTATTTATCTGAATCAGATTTGTAACATTGAGATGTCACCACCCACCCCAAAAAAATCCCGAAAAAGCCCCTTAATTTACTTTCCTTTTTGTGATGTATTTATAACAATGTCTTCCTGTTCTGCCTGTACACAACCAACCTCCCAGCCATTGTGTTACAAGTGGTGAGAATGTTGTTTGACAACTAAATGAAAAAGTACTTTTTGAAGCAGTTCCAGAACAAGAACTTGCTGTGTTATACGTTGCTTTGTGAGAGCTTAACTTAGTTTCCAGACACTGTACAAAGAAAAATTCCTGCCATAAGCCCTGCACACACAGACCCCAGGGAAAGCTGCTGAAGACTTCAGGGCTGGGTCTTTGCATGCAAGTGTCTTTCCACACAGCAAATGATCCAAAGAGCAACTTCTATAAATAGTGTAATTTCCAACTGCAGATATATCTGTCCTTTTCTGTGGATTCCTTGCCAAACATTTTCTCAGTTGAAGTAGAGATGGTTCTGTAGCCAGCGTGCACTTAAATAGCCCTTGGAGATCTGTATTAGATTTTTGTTGGCTTTTGTTTGAACTTTTAAACTGTCAGGTTATTTTAGCAGCATCTCTGGAAAAGCATTGCCTCTTGGTGTTACTTGCTCTTTTCCATTGTTGTGACAACATATTAAAACCAGGCTGTGGCTGATACCTCTGTAGCATTTATACCAAGGGTATTGCATTGCCATGCAGCACTTTTCTGAGCAGTGTCTTCTTTATTTTAGAGTACGAAGGGCTGTGGCTCAACAAAACTTTTAGATCAAAGGAGATATAGATTTATTTGCAGATTTCCCAAAGTAAGTTTTGTCACTTCTTGTCTGAAACAACTGTATAGAGAAAATGTTAATTTGTCTATCAGGTGGTTTTGAAAGTGAAATATAGTTAATGGTCATAAATCAGAACTGAAAAAAGCTCCATTTAAGGGATTGTGTTTAACAGAATAACTGTGCTGTGACAACTTTCAAGTATTAAGTAGCTGAAATACATATTTATAAATAAGGGATGCTAAGATACAGCTGCTTTATCCAGAATCAAGTTTCATCAAGAACTTGATCCTGGCAAATATGTGTCTGTATGGCCAGGGCATCTTTGCACTTTTGGGGAATATTAGTGTAAGTTTCAATGTTTCCTTCTTCTCATAGGTAATTCCTGGTTATTTCTTAACTCTGATACTGCAATATTGCAAAATCTCTTAATGTTGTGATCATATATACACTTCTGCAAAGACATCTTAAAATTAGAGTTACAAGTTCATGCTTTGGGATGCATAGCATTTTTGCAATTTCACGGAGAACTTTGCTAAGACTATTCTTGAGGGACTTTGGAGCTTGTTAGTGCAAGATCTGTTTCCATTGCAGGTGGCTGTTGTAAAACATCAAGAGAAAGTAGTGGGCCCTGTTGGTTGTCCGGGAAAAAAAACCAAATCCTTCTTTTTGTTTACAGTGCATATTCTGACATCATTTGAGGCAACTATACAGTTTGGTAATGCAATTCATGACATGTCAGGTACGGCAGATGGATGTGTGCCAGTGTTTTAATGAATTAACATGTTTGTTTTTTTTCTCTAGGGTCTGGAGAAGTCCTAGTCCAGAAATTTTAATTTTTTTTAAAAAAAAACAAGATTTTTTTTTTTCCAGTGTTTTCATTAGATTTTAAAAGGCAGCTGCATTTGCTGGCAAGTATCTGAATGAACTCACAATGATATTCCTAAAGTACTATCTCAAACTAATTACTTATTCATTCCAACATGCTACCTACTGGTGATGAGTTTCCAAACTGCTATAAGTTGCAGCTGTGTTACTGTCTAGAAAGTCAAAAGTGTATGGTTGTAGGCTTTCTTTGTAAATGAAGGACAATAATTATAATAAACCTTGACACTGTGAGCTTGAGAAAAAAAAAAACCAAAGTAATACCTTTAGGATTTTAAATGAGTAAAATAACTATTGTTCATTGTATACCTTGCCAGTAAAGGCTTGCAAATTTGATGCAAGTGGTTTAACATTTATAATAAAATCTAATCCCTTATGTGCCATGGAAAGCAGAAAGAAATGACAATTGCAGTTAAACAACTGATAGATTGATAGTTACAATTATCCTTCATTAACTAAGTGTTGAATGCCAGCTGCTGGATAAGGCTCAGGTTCCATTCTGGAACCCCCTGGTTACACTGCAGCCTAAC